AATTTAAATATATTTCTATTATCACTGTTGAAGATTTATATAAAAATTCTCATATTAATTTATGAGTGGCTGCCATGTAATTTAACATGAATAGAAATATAAAAATATGTCTTATTTTTTAAGTGAGTTTTGCGAGTATCAAAAGAAACTAAAATTTCTGACAACAATAAGGCAACGTAGACACTAGTATTTCATTTTAAAATGAGAATTCTACCCGTTCCCGGAAAAAAAATTCAGACGGATGGACAGTTGTACATTTTTATGAAATAAAGGTAACAAACGAACACACAGACCACGTGATGAAAAGTGGATGCTTTGGCCCCAAAGCAGCAGCGTTGTCCACCTTGAGAACTAAGATAAGAATGACTCATTTCCAGTAAAAAGTGTCTCCGGTTCTCTAAACTGACAATACGAAACACAGCAGCATTAAAGCTGCTATGTCTCGCTGGTATTCTGTGAGTACGCGGTCCTTTCCCGGTCGACACGAACTTGACGTAAAATTTTAGAACGTGTCCAGATTTTCCTTTTGAGGTTCGGAACACTTAAAACCAAATATTGCATTGAAATGCTGGAAATCTGCTGTCAATGGAACTGTCTAATATAATTATGTCTTATTAATAGTGGATTATCGATAGATTATGGATAGTGGATTATGTCGCCCTTATGTCGCCATTACACAATGACATGGTGATCTATTTTAAGCTAGTGCTAAACCTCTGTTGCTGAAGATGAAATAGCGCGTAGAATTTGCAATATATATATATATATATATATATATATATATATATATATATATATATATATATATATATATATATATATATATATGAATAAATGCTGTAGAAATGCGATGTATTATATATGCTTTAGTTTAGTAGTCATTCTCCTGTTCTCTAACCTCCATGGAATAAAGAATAGTACTACTCACATACTACCGAGAATGAGTCTGAGAGCACTGCGACCAACTGCGACGTTCGCTTTGGAGTCCCGTAGTTGTGCATGTTTGTGTGAGTGTCCGTTAAATGCCGTTAGTTATTGTAACGTCAGATAAAGTTTGAAATAAAGTAGCTGGTCTACACTGTTCGTGTGATGCGTATCTAAGTAGTTAAAATATCAAAATAATTTAATTGCATATGAATTATTTAACACAATCGCCGCCCTGGATTTGAATAGAATGTTGTGGAATATCAATGGATATTAATGAAGAAATATTAATTGGCTTTGATGGCAAAGAGACAGAAAATCTAAAATAAATAATAAATCATTCCTAAGTTTTTTGTTTTTATAGAATTAGGATGTCCGTAATTCCTTTCCTTTTGATCTTAGTATGCTGAATACGTAGATATTTCTGCATAGTTAGAGATATAAATGCAGGTATATAATAAATATAGTTTTATTAAAAATAGTAAAGGCCATTCTGTAAGTTCTAGGAACAGGCACAAGACAGTAATGTTCTTTAATTTTAAGGAGTTAGTAGGTAGGTAATTTCTTCATGCGACAAAGACGCTTTTACTGCAAAATTATAATAACTAAAATGTTATTATTATACAAAAGTTGTTTACCCATTTTAGGGTAATTAATAATTATACATAAAGTTTTCGCTATCATTCTGTTTCTAAATGTTTTCATATTAAAGTGTACCTATGTACATTTTATACTGTAAATAATAAAATACAATTGCTTGCAAAAAACATCTTCAAAATTATTTATGAAATATTTAAGTCTATTTCTTACAAGTTCTTGTTGTAATAACTCGAAGTTATGACAGAATGTATGGTTTAAATGTATTTAATTTTGGTTTAGTTCCACAATTATATTAAAAGTATATTTTTAAAATGATTTATATTTTTAAAGGAAGTGAGGGCACTTAACCCAAAAAGATTTGTAAATTGGGCTATAGAATTTATTTAAAATTAAGAATTAAATTAATGATTTGTGGTTAAAGTGAATTTAGATGATTTTCTCCTGCAACTTTTAAGCTTTTTTGTCGAGGCGATGGTTTATAGCTTCATATTTGGATGCGATAGGTAGATCTAGATGATGCTGTAGCCAAGGTATTAACAAATTTCATCAATATGGATCAAAATGACTTTTATGCTTATAATATAATTGTGTTGGTTTAGTTCCATAAAAGCACTATCTGTGCCCAATAGGTGACGCTGAGGTGGAGAAAAAATTATATCAAAACTTGATACTCATGGCGCCACCTGCTGGTAAAGGCAGAACAAAGTCTCTCAAACAGTAATATATAAAAATTTTCGGACAATTTTTTAATAAAAGTGAAGTGATCATCGAACAGTCTACGTGACGGTAAGTGAATACTGTAGCTCATAGATACCTGCAACCGACTTCAAACAAGAAGACTTAAGAAGAAATGCATGTAATTAAGCTGACTTTCTTTACTCCTCAGACCGGAACAAAGCAGTGCAAGCACTGCGGTTTTCTGAGGTATTTCACAAGATGTCACTTTACCAAAGATTATAACAGGATTATAACACGCAATGGTTTTGTTTATAATCTGCATATATGTAGTAATAAGTCGACCAATTCTTAGTGATAGTGTTCTTATTTTTGCCTTGACTAGTTGTACCTTATTTTTTAAATGTAACAAAGTTAGAGATGAGTCGTACTAGGTGCACCTAGTCCAATTCCGTATAAATACTCGATCCAAATACCTGTTCCACATGCGCCCTCCTTTCTGCCAATGCCAAGGAGGGTCGCGTTCGTATACGGCATGTCGCCTCTACACGTTGGCCAACACAGTGGCGAATGTAGTGGCCAATAGCATTGGCCAACGTGTAGACGGGGTGTTTGGGCTTCATTGGTATGTATTGGAAAGATGGCCCGCAAGTTGGCATCTGATCCGTGTGGTGTTGGTTTTTTACAAAAGATCAAAGGATTGTTGGCAGAGTTTGGTCGCCGCGTCCACACGTTGGGCGCGCGTTCAGTTTGCTACAAGCTCCCAGAGTGATTACACGCATCTGATTTAAATTTTATATTCAAGCTTTGTAGGGTGGATGCCCCAATTACCAGCCTTTTAGTGCCAATTTCAACTTTAAACATTCCTACTACTTTAATTAGCGCGATTTAATTATTATTGAACATTTGTTTTAATCAATAAGCTACTTATCAAAAAAATAACGTCTTTTTACAATCAGATTATTACGAGAATAATTTTAAAAATGAAAAAAAAATGAAGCACGTCTTTTATACGTGGTAGAACCATGCAATTATATTAGAAGTATAGTTGCAGCACGAAGATCGGCTCGACCGGGGAAGGACCACGCTCTCACAGAATATCAGCGTAAAATAGTAGCTTAATGATGCTGTGTTTCGTATAGTGAGTGTAGAGAACCAGACCCTTTTTAAAGGAAACGAGGCATTTCATCTTAGTCAACGCATCTGCATTTTGATTCGTAATCGAGGATAGACGTAGATGTCTGTGGGCCACAGTAACCACTTACCATCAGGTGAACTGTGTGCTCGTTTGTTATCCTATAAAAAACGTCGATTTCTTATAATTTAATCGTGCAAGATTTCGAATCATCATCATCATTACAGCTGTTCATAAGTCCACTAATGAACCAATTTCTCCACAGACTGCCGCAAAGCATGGTCCTGAGCCACTTTGCTCGTCATAAGTTTTTCATTATATGTTCTAAGTTATAATTAGTACCTATTATTAAGGCACTGTTAATTATATTTATTGCTATTGTTTTTGTCTTTCTCAAAAAATAATTAAATTACCAAATAAATTATAAGGTGTTTTTTATATACATCAAATGTCTGATAGAAATGCAAGTACATATTTTGCTAAACTTTAAAATCAAAACCCAATTTTAAAACATAGACTAATCGATTATAACTCCTTTAACTTTAAAATAAGTTAAGTTCTTATTAATGGTATTTATTTCAGTTTATGATGCATGTAAAGAATAAATAAAGCTAATCGTATATCTATTTACAGCCCCATTAATATCCACTATTATTTTATAATTCTTTTATAAAAACGTTAACCCCACACTAGGATTTTCTCCCGTATCGCGGAAGCAGTTTACAAACATAAATTGCACAAGGACACACATCCAGACCCGAAACAATTTGTAGGACATACAAATACTTGTTCCGTGCGGGATCAAACCCGCGGCGCCCGGCGCAGCCACTCATTGCTGAGCCACTGCGCGGTGCTTATAAATTCGTCCGCACATTGGCCCGAACCGAAGTAAACTGAACGACCTTCCAACGTGTGGACGCCGTCACCAACTCTCGGCCAATATATTCGCCACTCCATTCGCCACTGTGTTGGCCAACGTGTAGAGGCGACATTAGAGATATCTAGTCAAATCGTTAAGCCAATTCCTATTTCCTAAAAGGTTGAGTTTAGTGGGTAAAAGTCACCACATAACCACGCAGCCGGCTGCATTCTCAACCTCCCTCCCCCCGCTTTCCGGAGGGTTGCCCATATTTGCTTCGGGCGCAAAAAAAAAAAATCTGTTCCACCTAGTCCATAAAGTAACAAGTACGCATAAAGTTTGTTGAAATAGGATGCGCTTTAGTTTCAAGTATGCTTTACGTGCGTACTACTGAAACGTGTGCAATAGTGAATTGTAATCTTCCCTTCATACTTTACATAGACTTAGGACTGTCAATGTAGATTGTACTGCATTGTAGATTGTTGGCGTATTTAAAAAATTTCAATTCATTTTTATTTCAATGTAATCAGATTTTACCCTTTTTTTCTTATTTTTCTTTTGTGTCTGTTTTTATAAATTTTTTTTAATCACTTAATCTACAGTTATGTTTTTTATATATGCGGAGAAAATCAGACTTAAAAATTTTGATTTAAGAACATTAATTGTTGCACTTTTCGAGTTCCCAGCCTTGTTCTCCTGTCATGAGGAAAATAATCTTTCACAAGGGACACTCGTGGCCATTGCATTCAACTTGGTGAGTGCCAGAGCAAACTAATGCGGGTATACATCTTTCTGCTTTTCCCACCACTATAGTGGTGACATATTCTCACATGGCAAAACAACTTTATCGTCCAAATATCTTTGAACATCTAAAATCGCTCGAGAAGTTGCCGTGCCCTTGGGTTGAATATTTTTCATTTTTTCAACATAGTGCTGCCATACTAAATTAATTTGTGGCTGAGGTAGAGGATTTGCTTCTAGATCCGATAGCTGTTGCTCTTCATTTTGAATTTGGGAACTATTGCGATTCTCTTTATTTATAATTAGTTTTACTTTATCAATCAGATTAACCAATTACATATTGTGTCGCAGACAATCCTTCTTGGACGGCTAAATTTAGCGTGTGTGCGTAGCAACCAAAATGCTTCCAGCCTAAATCTGTCATGGCTTTTTAATATTGGCGCCGGTGTCCGACACTGCTAACAAAAATTTTTTGTTATTCGTTATTCGCAACAGTTCCGTAGCTATGTTGGCACTGGTATGTGATCCCTCTAAAAATACACAATCTAACAAGATGGATTTTAGGGTGCAGTCATTTTTATTGATATAATGACCAGTAATACCCATGTACGAGTCGTTTGTACTTGATGTCCACATATCCGCTGTGATAGAAATCGATTCCACATCGTCATTTTTGATGTTCGCAAACTTTCGTAGCGACTTGGCAATAAATTGTTTGTAAAGTATTTACGATTTGGAGTAACATAAAAAGGAAAAGCAGACTAAAACCTTTGTCTTCTACAATACGGAATGGTTGAAAGTCCATAATAAATAAATCCATTATTAGCTTATCTATATCAGCTTTACATTTTCAGCATTTTTTTTATATATGTATGAAGCTATAGTTCTCGCACCCGGTTGTACTAATCGCACCAAGTTAGTGGACGGCCGTTGTTTACCTTCAGGTTGTTGAACTATTCCAGCAGATTGGTCAGATATTGGTGGTTGCCGGTTAGTCTGAGATGTCATCACTGGCGCTGGAACGTCGTTGTTTCTGACTAAATTTACGAATGGATGTTTACGTTTAATGTGTTTTGTAAGGTTTGATACAGAACTTTTAAAACTCAGTTGTATTTTACAAATATTACACTCAGCCATTTGTTGCCCTTTGTCCGTAAAATGCTCCCAAGCCACACTATTTACTCTGGGAGCCATTTTTTAAACAATAAACGCGTGAGTGTTTCTATAGTTCATAAAAGATAGCTTAATCTCTGCGACAGCTGTCAGTAAAATTTCTTAGTAGTACAGACACTACCTGTCAATGTCATACTTTATGGGCATGTACCTATAAGTACCTATATATAGGTCGGTAGTAGGTACCTATATATAGGTCGGTAGTAGGTATCTATACAGAATGGGTCCCACATATATGCAATAAATGAAACCATATACTTGTTATCGCCTTTGCTGACTATATACAAAAAATGAACGTAATCGGTCCAGTAATTAGGTCAAAAAGTAGAGTTTTAATTTTAAGCAAATTTGAACACTCTATAGAATTGGGTCACTAAGTCAATGATTCAATGAACTTGAATCCTTGAACATTAAAAAGCGACGTTGCCACGCAGTGCAAACTATTGGTATTGCGACATATCGACAGCGGTGTCTTTTGTCGGCGGGCCACCCGCGTGCAACGTTGTCACTCTTCCAAGGGGTCAAGGTACGTTGTCTAAACAGAGTGTTCACTTTTACTGAATTTATTTTAATATTTATTTTGTTTGAAAATTTCACATTTTTATTTTACGGGTTTTAATTTAATATTTAATTTTTCTACACTTCTACGGACTAGTATTACTTGTGGTTTCATTTATTGCATATATGTGGGACCCATTCTGTATATAGGTAGGAGTACTCACCTATTCATTTTGCATCTCTCTATTGATTTTAAGCTGCTATGTTTTTTTTACTATTGCTATAATTCTATAATAGGTTGATGCAGTATAAAGTAGCTCATAATGACGGAAGAGAGAATTTGAAGTAGATTATTTTCATATATTTCTTATATAATCTTAATAGTAACGATACTAATTATAACATTTTTTTTAGAATATTGTTTGCACAATTCTTATAAATAAACATTTAAAAAGAATAGTTCTGAAAAACAAAAAATAAAAAGTGAGTTTGTTGAGTTTCACCATAAGAACGATTATAAAATATATAGATTAGTAAATGTGAGTAAATGAACGCATTTTTGTATTTCTGAAAGCAAGCATGATACATTTACTTATATTAATTATATAATTTATATTCATCAAAATATATTACATAGTAATTATTGAAAGGTAAATTGTTTACGTAACGTAGTCATGGAAACATTAATACAGCGTCCCGTGTACTGGACAACAGACACTCGCCTTGTATATATACTCTTGTAAAGGCAACGCCACGAGTCATGGAAGTGCGCAGAAGCGAAAAATAGGTGTCGGAGTCTCGTCCGGACCGCGCTAGTGAGCGGTCTCGTCCGCCGGTCGTCGACTCCCGCCCGGCTGTGGGCGTGCGCGTGCTGTGGGGCCAACTCGGCTTGCGTAGAGCCTTGAGGATGCCCCTGACCCCACCCGGGATGAAGATCACCCAACGCTGCGTTTCACCTACACGCTGGGAAGCGAACTCCGAAGGTCCGGCGCGCCCTGGTGTGCGCGCGCCTGTTGGTGACTTCGGCTCCACGTCGAGATGCATTTCCGCGGAACCTGCAGGTTGCTGACCCTTCTCCAGATTCCCTTCCCAGAGGCGCGAGACACGCCAACTTCTGCTTAGGGATACCAGGCCTTCATCTAGAGCCAGGAAGGAGCACTGGAGGCCCGGAGCAGCTGCTGTTGGAGCGCACTCCTGTCGGCAAGATTGGCCCTGCCTTGTCGACTCCTTTCCTCAGGACTCCGCGGGGCTTTGAGACGGCCGACCCTCCGGTAGCACCGACCTGGTGGCGCGCAATACGCCAACTAAGATCACCGACAATGTCGTACTTGTATGGCTCCCAAGACTGGCTCATAGAAATGAGCTGTGAGGATTACCCGGGTAATGGGGAACTCCCCGAGGCCCGATACCTGCATGGAATAAACAATAGTAGTCCCATAGCAGATGACAACAGCGTAGGTGTCGGCACGGTGAGGTGTGAGGTACGGGGAAGCGAAACCATAGCAACGGGCGACACGCTACTCCCACGTGCGTAGACAGAGAAACCTATAGACTAACGATTAGCGTGGCCTAGAGTGAGAAAGGACGATAACGTAGTTTTAGGTTAGACAATAATCTTTATGACTTTTAAACATATTTAGTTAAATTTTTTAATTGTTCTAAGAACTGAACTGAACAAGATTCACTAATCTTAAGCTCACAATCACTTTTTTCTCACTTAAACCAACTTGTAAACTCCTTAGATCGTTACGAACTGTCAAAGTAGTTTAGCAAAGTGTAGTTTGCTAAACAAAAAAACTGGCACGGAGAAAGGGACAAACAATCACACCGCTCTGTCTCATTTCTATGCAAGACGTATGCATAAATCTATCTGTTTCGTGCGAATGCGAAAGAAGGCGTCAATTTGTTTATAGGTTTCTCTGTCTACGCCCATGTGGTTTCTCCCTGCGTCCCGTCGCCCGCGCACCTTCTTGTGTTGGGTACTATAGATATCGAAACTGTTAGCGACTACCTCTTAATTATACAATTTTAAATTTTTTCGATTATTTTTGTACTTTTAAAAATATTGTTCTATAACATTTTCAAATAGTGTGCAAATATTTATTACTTTATAAATTATTTTGGGACTATTTAAAATAGCGTAATTCGTAGTATATTGTATAAAGTTGTAAACATTTTGTTATTTTCTACAAGATGATTTTTTTTAGCAAATTATTGCATGTAAAATATCCTTATAATCGAAGGCTATCGCATAATATAGTTTAAACAGCAATTACAAGTACAAAAATACAATTACAAAATATTTTGTTTCTTAAATTAAGTGTACATAAATGCAGAATATTATTTAGAAGCAGTTAAAACCTAACGATGATATATATAAATATATCGTTCTGTTTTTGTGGAGACTTTGATGTGTAGTTATAATGTTGACCTTTGACTTCTTACATATTAAAATGCCATAGTTAAATTTTCTTTTTTCTGCTTGATTGTACATGCGCAGTGGACTCTATTTAATTTAATTTTTCAAGACGTGACCTATACCCACAGATTAATCTGTGCCTATACCAGTATTTGGTTGAAGTCCCGAGTCCCGATTAGTCTCGAGTCTCTCGAGTCTCGAGTATTGACAAAGATAGAAAGACTGCGGAATAGTGTAGTTAAACAAGGACAGAATATATTTTTTCACAACACGAGTGCGCGTCACGTTACTTTTATATGCATTGAAATATGGTTCAAATTCAAATGAATGTTGACTGACAAACTAATGATTTAGGCAAACACGACCGTGAGCGCCTAGTAACTACGGCAACAAAATACGAATACGACGCGTAGGCACAGCTCAGATGAAGTAAAAAAGGTATAATTCATAAAAGATAGCTTGATATCTCCGACAGCTGTCCTGAATGTCTAAGTAGTACAGACAGTACCTGTCAATGTCATACTTTATGGGCATGCCGCATGCGCATAAAGTACGACAATTCAGGACTTCATAGGTGTGATTTTTACTGACAGCTGTCGCAGAGATCAAGCTATCTTTTATGAACCATAGATACCGCACGGCCTTTGTTATTGGTGAAGCCAAAAAACTCCGCTCCTTTATGTAAGCACACGCGTTCACGCACACACATGCATCAAACTACGCTAATTTTCGCTCAGTACTTCTCGTGGCGTCGTTCAGTAAATTTGCCTACAAAATGCCGTGCTGTGTAGTTATATGGTGCAAAACCAATACTAAAGTGAACAAAAAATCTGAAGCAATATCGTTTCACTCGTAAACACTCATTTGACTATATTTTAATTTGTTATTCCAACACAATTTTGAAGGTTATTCTAAGCAGGAATGTCAATGTTTCGAGATTACGCGATGGCAGAATGTTGCCAGTATTTCCTATTTCTAATGGTCCAAGTTTTGGGTATTTAATTTTAGGCTACGTTATAAAATATATGTAGTCAGCATATTTTTTTAAATTAGTTGTTGCTATGTTACATCAAATTGAAGTCAAGGTATATAATTAATTTTTTAAGTCGCTGATGTTTCTGTTTTAATTGTTGATTACTTACAAACTATTTTACTATCAAAAATATTTATGATTTTAGGCTACCAACGAATATTTTAATAAGACATGAATTTTTACGTGGTAAAGCCATGCTGCAGTTATACTATTAATAATATAGTTATAGCACGAATGGATCGGCTCGGCCGGGGAAGGATCACGCTCTCACAGAATACTAGCGTAAAATAGTAGCTTAATGCTGCTGTTTCGTACGGTGAGTGTAGAGAACCGGAGACCCTTTTTACTGGAAACGATGTATTCCATCTTAGTCCTCACGGGTGACAACGCATCTACATTTTGATTCGTAATCGAGGATATATGTAGATGTCTATGGACCACAGCTACCACTTACCATCATGTGGCACGTATGCTCGTTTGTCATCCTATCCTATAAAAAAAGGAGGGTAGCTGCTATAATACTGAGCTGAAATGAACCAAAATGGCAGCTATCCTCTTGACTTGGTAGAGCTTGGCTTGGTAGAGCCACGCAGCGGCTATTGATGTCGCATGAATGGGCCAGCTTGAGCCGAGGTGGTACCACGACCTCACATAATACCTCTACGTTTCGCTTGGGCTGGAGGCCCAATTCCCTCTCCCCTTAACATCGTAGCGGAATCAAATAAAAACTACCCCAAGAGTAAGGTACCCTCACTCCTGGTGACTCAGAGGAATCCCTCACTGAGCATCCATGACCAAGCTACTTTACTCTTCCTGAGCGTGGGTGCTTAGGCTGCTCCGTGTATTCTGGGGGAGAGGAGTAATCCTGTTCGCGACTAAAACTGCTAGGGGCAAGCGAAGCAATAAGACTAAGGCAACTCCTGTCACGCTATCCGTGAATTTTTGCAACATCAGGACACTTTATTCCAATCTTAATGCTGCCCATTACCACCCGGAGACGGTGAAGCCGGCCTTGCTTTTTTTAACCTAAACTCAGGTTTCCTCTCCAGCTGATACTTTATATCTCTCCTA